AGCAGCGTAACGAACAGCGAACGGCCACAGAAAATGGGGTGCTCCGGCATGGATCATGGAGGTACGAGCCACCTCCATGACCAAACTGATGCGTCGCTCAGTGACCCCATTCTGCTGCGGGGAGTCCGGCAGGGTGTACTGCTGGGTGATGCCCTCCGCACGACAGAACTGGCCAAGCCGACCAGAGGCAAACTCGCCACCACGGTCAGAGTGGAGACACAGCACAGGGAGACCACGGTGGACGCGCTCAGCTACGACCCACGGGATAAGAACGCAAGGCACGTCGACCTTCCGCTCCAGAGGAAACACCGTGGTGTAGAGCGTGTAGTCGTCGACAAGCACTAGAAAGTAGTGGCGGCCCAGAGACGGGGGCTAGACCCCAAACGTCCAGGTGTAGGGTCTGTAGTGGCGCAGTGGTAGGGCGAAGCGAGGAGTGAGGAGCACGGTGCAGCCGACCCTCGACGCAAGGCGTGCACGGCGGTGCAGGCGAGGGAGGGAGGGTAGGGAGTGACGTAGGGAGACCTAGGACGAGACCGTGCTGGGACATGTGACGCAGACGAGGGAGTGCGGGGTGACTTAGACGGTGGTGCCACAGAAGCGACGGGTGATTGAGCGACCGACACGAGCAAGCCGCAGCGACCTGAGTAGATGCAGGCACCTGGGGTGACGCCCTCACCAAGGGGGACTCGGTGTCAAGGGTAAACAGGCCAGACCGAGGGTCCCGAAAAATTGTTGTTGCGAAGGGTGTGTGGTGGAATATCTCTTGTGTAGGGCACTTAGCAATAATAACAAGATATTCTAGGGGTGTGGGGGGAATGTATATGGTAGTCAAGGACTTCGCCGAAAAAATCTTGGTTGTGGTGGGTGAGGGGGGAGGGATGGGGGTGTCGAGAGACCCGTTGGGGTTACCCATGAGAAGATCCTTGGGGAAGGGCCACAGGTGCAGAGCCTGGGGGGCTATGGGCCAGGGCTGTCGTTATCAGGGTATTTTACCCTGATTCCCTGATTTCACAAGGTATTTTTTTGGCCAACCCTTAATTTTTAGGGTTGGGTTTTTTTTAACCCTAACCTCTTCAGGGTTGTATGTTTGTGAACACTGAAAATTTCAGGGTTTGCGTTATCCCAACACTGAGTTTTCAGGGAGTAACGCGTACGAACCCTGAATGCGACATCCATGCGGACCCTGAGTTTCCTCGAAATGGCCCCCTTACGCGTGACGGGGCCCAGTCCATTGAACACGCCCAGCATGCGTCACGTGGGGAATCTGCACTCGGCAAGATTCCCGCCGTGAACACGCTGTATGTTGCCATTACAACAACATTTGCAACCGTCAACTGGCATTCGTGACTCAGCACGCAGCAGACGAGGACAGAATATGATGAGCGCGGCAATGTCAGCCTCTGTATGACATCACCCCGCCAATCATCTCTGTGTAGACGATGCCAGCGCAGGTGCGTCTCGCCGTTGACGTTATTGCCATGGCGATACGGGAACCTGGATGGGTTATGCACCATCCATGAAAATCGAAAGATGGTGCTTCTTGGTCCTCTTCCCGTCTTCTTCACCAGCTCCTCCTCCAACCCAGTTTTTTTTCTGTTCTTCACGTCACAGCTACGAGATGCTCCAGTCTTCTGTCTCCTCTAGTTTCGTCGCGCCGATTTCTCATTTCCATCATATCCGCCGCTTCTAGCCATGGCGGATGTAGGAGACTCTGGTGAGTCTCCCACTGCCGATGATGGTTCTGGACTAGGTAGGGACCCCCCCGTGGAGGTCCGTAGATCTGCTCTAGACATCTTGCGGTCTCCCACCGCAGTCGTTACACCATCACAACCCGTATCTACTCCCGCCGCTCCCTATGTACCTCCGCCCGCTGTCGCCTCATCTAGCCGGGGCCCTTTGGTTCCACACTGCGAGACAGCCACGACCGTGCGTTACACGGTCGAGTGTGCATCGACGATTTCATCTGGGAAGAAAGCACGCGTCGGGAAGTACACCCAGAGCACGATAGTCCTCGGCGGGAAGCTACATCGACGGTCGCCGCCTCGCACGTCGCCTGAACCTCAGGCCCCTGGTATTCCAGAACCCGAGCCGCCGAATCTCTCAAAGAAGGAACTCATCGAGCAGAAGTATCTCATGGCTGAGCACAAGTATAAGACCAGCTGGCTTCCATTTTTCCCTTGGCTTCTGCTAACGAAAACGAAAGACGGTTACCCTGCTTTGAAGTGCAGTGTGTGCAAGGCTTTCGGCAAAGAGACAACACCGTACTCCAACAGCCGCAACGGGGCACGTGACCTGCAGACGCAAGCGATGCGGTTCCACGAACACACGACAGCCCACGAAGTAGCAGTCAAGCGTCAGATGGAGATCGCCGAAGACATCGCCAGCACCCAGAGGCGCACGGAGAATTACGCGCGGACTGACATCGAGGGGAAGCGTGTCATGAGGCTCCTACGCTGCGTCGACTTCCTGTGCAAGTGTGATGCACCCATCAGCATGTACCCGAGGCTACTCCGCTTCATGGCCGAGCAGGAGACCCCGGACATTCCGCTGCAGTCTTACGGAGTCTACCTGACACGGTAATGCACTTATTCGAAGTACACCATGTTCTTCATTTTTCATAAAGGTCTAACCAACACCCTGCTGTCACTTCTGCTACTACAGGTATGGCTTCTGTCAGCTCGTCAGCAGCCTCGCAACCTACCTGCAGCGCCGACAAATGCAATACATTCTCGCCTCACCCTACCTCGGCATCAGCTGCGACGAGAGCACTGACCGTACTCGCGGTAAACATCTTATTGTTTATCTGACCTTCTTGCGTGCGCATCGTGTTGTCACAGAGTTTTTTGCTCTCCTGACCGTCGAAAAGTGCGATGCCGCGTCTCTCCTCGCCGTTCTTCTGGCTCACTTGCGAGCAACTGGCATCGACCTCTCCCGAATCACCGGCATGAGCACCGACGGCGCCTCTGTCATGGTCGGCCGAGACAATGGTCTCATCGCCCGACTTCGCGAGCACATCCCCCACCTCGTCTCGTCGCACTGCATCGCCCACAGGTTTAACCGCTTGTCATTTCAGTCGCTTAGAGTTCCTACAACTGCTTGTCTAAAATTCCTTCGTGTGCACCATGCAGGGAAGCCTTGGCGGTGAAGGACGCGGCCACTGCTTCTCCAGACTTCGACATGGTCGACCTTGTGATTCGGACTCTGGCCGATCTTCTGGGACGTTCCTGTGTCTGGAGTCAACGCTTCAAGTACCTGCAGTGGGCAATACACAACACCAACCTTGAAGTGCAAGGAATTCACACCGTGCGCTGGCTTTCAAGGGGTGAGGCTGTGAGGCGCCTGTGTAAGGTCCTTGGCGCCGCTATCATTCTCTTTTATGAGTACGGGCATGAGCTGTATGAGGTCGTCATCTGTTACAAGTTCCAGTTCTGTCTTTTTTTCCTGGCGGACGTGCTCGGAGTGATGAATGAGCTCAACCTCAAATTCCAGAAGAGGGAGGTGAGCTTCTATCCCTGTTAATGTTGTAGTTTTTGTCCCATGCATCCACGTTTGGAATCACCCTTTGACTCCACTCCCTTGTCTGTCACTTCCATCAGGTCGATGTCACCGAAGTGACAAAGGACATCGACGAGGCGACAGGGGACCTCCGCCACCGCTACCTGGAGTGCGGAGAGGTGTTCGGTGGGGGTGTCGAAGGCACGTGGCTTTCGGCTTTCTTGGCGGTCTACGGGTGCGGAGGGGGAAAACGCGTAAAGGTGCGGGGCATCGACAAAGACGGCAACCCAGTCACGCACACCTACACCATGCACGAGAAGCAGATCGACGGGCATGCCTTCCGCAGCAAGTACCCCGATTGCGAACGGCTTTGCGCGCAGTTCGCGAAGGACACGATAAGCTTCCTGAAGACGAGGATGCTGGACCTGAACAATCTCGGCCCGACGAAGCTGTTTCGCGTGTCGAAGTGGCCCTGGATGAAGCAGCAGAGAGAGAAGCTGAAGGAGTACCTACATGGTTGCAGTGCCTTGTTCGAGAACAGGCTGACAGGCTTTTCCTTGCAAGCTGCGCAGAAGGAGCTGGTCACGTGGGCGCCACTGATGCTGAGCCACCATGCCGACGAGGGATTCCATCAAGGCCTGACGAACTACCTCGGCTCGACGGAGTCGACCTTGTGAGCGAGTGCTGCTCGAAGGACGATTGTTGCATTTTTTTTTTGCGCTTTTATTCTTCCCTTTGGATGTTGTTTATCGATTGTTGACTAGCATCGCTAATGCACTGGTCTTGTTCCGTGTACTCTATTCCCCCAACCCTTTTGGCAGTCGCTGGCCCAACCTCATGCACTTGTGGCAGGCGTGCGCTGTCCTGCCGCTGAGCACAGTGGAGTGTGAACGAGGCTTCTCGCGGCAGAACGTCGTCAAGTCATGGGTGCGGGGCGCGTTGTGCAATGCGCGCCTCAGCGAGCTGATGGTCATTTCCCTGCTGCAGTACGAGACTGACTGGGACGAGGCCCTTGAGTGTTGGCGCGAGAAGCTGAGGCGCCCTGCTAAGTCTGTTCTGTTTGCCGCAGCGGAGAGGAAGCGTAAGGCGAAGGCGATTGAGGGGGCAGAAGTGAGGGTGGAGGAGGAGGCAGTCCCCGACTACATGGGGGATTGGGCAGAGGATGAGGGAGAGGGGGAGGGGGGAGTGGGGGGAGAGGCTCCTCCTGAAGTGGAAGACAACCCGTTTCTGTCCGATGACGAGGCAGAAGACGAAGTGAACATGGATGGCCCTGAACTTTAGTCAAGTGTAGGTAGTGGCGTGGAATCTTGTGAAGTCTATACTAGATAGAGGACTTGTAAACTGGCGTGGCGTAGTGGTGCTTTTACTTAACTAGTAACTGTACATTCCTAGTTGATTTTTTCCAAGTGCAATGCAACCCTGATTGTTGATAGCCAACCTTGGAGATTTCAGGGTTGTAGGTTCCAGAACACTGAGAAATCGGGGAAGTCAAAATTCCAACACTTGGCCCTCAGGGTAATTTTTTTTCCACATTCGACAGCTCAGGGTGCTATTTTTTGAAACGTCAGCCCTGCTATGGGCGCACTGACCCGTTATTAACAAGCCATTTAAACTCAATGGTTAGTGACTGGGTTTCTAACATGGTATCAAAGCGTTGGTGACTCGGGTTCAATTCCCATTGCTAGTGCTGCAAACGCGCTCGTTTCCTCCGCCTGTCCCAGCGAGGGGGAGTGTCGAGAGACCCGCTAAGGTTACCCTTGAGAAGATCCTCGGGGAAGGGCCACAGGTGCAGAGCCTGGGGGGCTATGGACGCACTGACCCGCTATTAACAAGCCCTTTTAACTCAGTGGTTAGTGACTGGGTTTCTGACAGGGGGGACTCTTAGACGAAAAAATACGTGCTATCTGAATTCTCAGACGAAATCTACACCTGCTCTGAACTTTCAGACGAAATCTTATGGCTTATCTGGAAGATTAGGCGAATTAATTTAGCCCGTAAAAAAATCAGATGAATGGAAAAAAAACTGGTCTGATTTTCAGACCATCAGACCGATTTCGTCTGATATCTGAGACCCTGGTCATGACTCATGGCCATGTAGCACACAAAATCGCAGATCAGCAGATAAAATTGGGGAGTAGGGAAGGAGTGGAGCGGAGGGGAAGAAAATTAGGTGCTCAACTGCCAATGTCCTCAGTGTCCTGCAAAAGACCGCACGTGAGCACGTGTGAGCAGGTGTGGAAGCGGCTTGTACACATTCACGGTACTGTTTGTAAACCTGTATGCAACCACCACCCTACTGCTGCAAACCACATTGTGGTTTGGAGCTCCTCCAAGCCTTTCTGCCCCCCGTGCTGCTGTTGGCGGTGCTGTTGGTGCTGTCGCTACCTCTGCTAGTTGTGCTGCCGCTGCCGCTGCTAGTTGTGCTGCCGCTGCTGCTGCTAGTTGTGCTGCTACTGCTGCTGCTGCTGGAGAAAACAGTGTACTTCTGAGCTCGGTAGAGTTAGGTTGGGGATGACTTATTATCGGGGTGGGGTTAGGGTTAGGTAGGGATGGGCGTATGTATTTGGATGTGGGTTGACTTGGCTTGGGGCGGATTAACCTACAGAAGCGGCGTTTCAAGCGGTACCGTTGTGCCCTTAATTAGGAACATGTGGGCTGCGGATGAATAAATCCGAATCATTTCTGGAGAGAGAGGGGAGGAGGATGGTGTTGAGCCTTGAGAGAAGAGAGGTGGGCTGCAGGCTTGCTGGCGATCTAATCTGATCCAGCCTCGGAGAGGAAGGAGAGAACCGCGATGTTGAACCGTGCGGCTTGGTGTACCTTTGGAGCAGGGCATGGGGCGGGGTTGGGAGAGGACATGGGAGGACTTGGGAGGACATGGGAGGACATGGGAGGACATGGGAGGACATGGGAGGACATGGGAGGACATGGGCATGGGACGGGGTTGAGATAGGACGGGGTCAACATGGGAGATTGCAGGAGGGTGCGCCAATGGACTGGAGGAAGCTGGAGCAGGGAAGACGTGTAATAAAAAAACCCTTTTTCTCTCATTTAATCCGAGAGAATCACATGCACAGCCAAGCACACAACCTCTGCGTGTCAGTGTGTCACGTGGCCACATGAATGCATGAATGGCAATGCACGAATGGCAATGCACGAATGGCAATGCATGAATGGCAATGCACGAATGGCAATGCATGAATGGCAATGCACGAATGGCAATGCATGAATGGCAATGCATGAATGGCACTGCATGAATGGCAATGCACGAATGGCAATGCACGAATGGCAATGCACGAATGGCAATGCATGAATGGCAATGCACGAATGGCAATGCATGAATGGCAATGCACGAATGGCAATGCATGAATGGCACTGCATGAATGGCAATGCATGAATGGCAATGCACGAATGGCAATGCATGAATGGCAATGCACGAATGGCAATGCATGAATGGCAATGCATGAATGGCAATGCATGAATGGCAATGCATGAATGGCAATGCATGAATGGCAATGCACGAATGGCAATGCATGAATGGCAATGCATGAATGGCAATGCATGAATGGCAATGCATGAATGGCAATGCATGAATGGCAATGCACGAATGGCAATGCACGAATGGCAATGCACGAATGGCAATGCATGAATGGCAATGCACGAATGGCAATGCACGAATGGCAATGCACGAATGGCAATGCACGAATGGCAATGCACGAATGGCAATGCACGAATGGCAATGCACGAATGGCAATGCACGAATGGCAATGCACGAATGGCAATGCATGAATGGCAATGCACGAATGGCAATGCATGAATGGCAATGCACGAATGGCAATGCATGAATGGCACTGCATGAATGGCAATGCATGAATGGCAATGCACGAATGGCAATGCATGAATGGCAATGCACGAATGGCAATGCATGAATGGCAATGCATGAATGGCAATGCATGAATGGCAATGCATGAATGGCAATGCATGAATGGCAATGCATGAATGGCAATGCACGAATGGCAATGCATGAATGGCAATGCATGAATGGCAATGCATGAATGGCAATGCATGAATGGCAATGCATGAATGGCAATGCACAAATGGCAATGCACGAATGGCAATGCACGAATGGCAATGCATGAATGGCAATGCACGAATGGCAATGCACGAATGGCAATGCATGAATGGCAATGCATGAATGGCAATGCACGAATGGCAATGCACGAATGGCAATGCACGAATGGCAATGCACGAATGGCAATGCACGAATGGCAATGCACGAATGGCAATGCACGAATGGCAATGCATGAATGGCAATGCAGGAATGGCAGTGCACGAATGGCAATGCATGAATGGCAATGCATGAATGGCAATGCATGAATGGCAATGCATGAATGGCAGTGCATGAATGGCAATGCACGAATGGCAATGCACGAATGGCAATGCACGAATGGCACACATGGCCACATGAATGCAATTAGACAGCACACACCTGAATGGCATGTGCACCCTTCTCAATCACCTCCAGGCGACAGCTCGAGCCAAAGTGTCTGAGGGGGCAGGTGGTGGGGGGGAAGGTGGGGAGTGATAGGATGGAGACAGGGAGAGAGGAGTGGGAGAGATAAGGGGCGAAACAGAGAGGGGGAACTGGCAAAGGAAGCAGGAAAAGGCAAAGGTGACAATTTTTGCACCGCCTGGGAAGGCATGAGAATGCATGTGTCGCCTATGAGCCTTGTGTGTGCGTGTGTGCACGAATATAAGCCTTTTGTGCATGCACTCGTGGAGGTATATTTTGAGTCAACGGGTAGCATGATCGTTTCACCAACTAAGACAGCATGGGAATGTGTGCGTGAGCACGCATGGCTTTAAATTCGACTCAAGCGAGGAGTGAGAGAGCCAAGGGGCGAAACAGGGGAGGTTATGTGGGAAAGGGCGCAAGAAAAAGCCAAGGGAACACGGTCCTCGCACTGCCTGGGAAGGGGCAGGGAAGCATGTGCACGGTGCACGCACGCGAACGTGTGGTGCTTGCGTGGGGGATGAAGGCGTGAGGGATGGGGATAGGGCGGGAGGGGCAAAGAGAGGTTTACGGGTGCTTCCCTGCCCCTTCCAGGCAGGGAAACCTCTCTTTGTCATATGCACGACGAGCGATGGCGAGAGGGAGGAGCTGGTTAACATTTTACTCGCCTAAACAAGTGTGGGAGAGGTAGAGAGGGGCTCGCTGCTGCATACAGTAAGCTGGTATTTGAGAACCAACTTACCTCATGTGGACTCCCATATGCTCGCTTTTTACTCGCTTGGAAGTTACCAGAAGAAGTAGAGAGGGGCTCACTGCTGCATGCGATGCGCGATGGCGAGAGGGAAGAGCTGGTCGCTGCCGCCCCACACAAGCAGGGTTCCCTGTGGCGGGAGGAGACCGAAAGGGAGGGGACAGAGAGGGAGGTGACCGAGAGGGAGGAGACCGAGAGGGAGAAGACTGAGAAGGAGGGAGGGGGTGGCGGGAACTGACAGACTGAGTGATAATGAGAGGGAAGAGCTGGTTGCTGCCGCCCCACACAAGTAGGGTGTGCTGTGATTTGATGGTAGGGGGGTCTTAAGATAGAGGAGGGCAACAGGATGGTGTTTCCATGGGCACGTGAAATCATCTCGTCGCATGGCATGTAGACCTGAAAACGAGTAGACTGTATTCGAATTTGTATTCGAATTCGGATGAATATCAAATACAAATCGAGTCTATGTGGCTGTTCAAACTCGCCAAAAATCGACTTCCGATATTCGACTCGAATTCGTATTCGCCCAACTCGAGTACTCGTTAGTACTTGAGTTTGGACATACCTGGCTCCTACTATCATTTCATTGCCTAGCATCAAAGGTCCTAATGCTTTCGTTGCTAAGTGATGCTGCTAAAAAGCTTCACTCGCCACTTGTACAACCCCTCCAATTTCTTGTGCAAACCTGCAAGCACGGCAACACCAAAAAAACCGACGACGAACTCCAAGGGTAACTTCACAAAGCTTGTAAACGCTCGTATGCCCAAAACTCGAGCGCATTCGTATTCGATTTGGACTCGACTCTATTCGACTCGTATTCGTATTCGAATTCCAAGCACAACTCGAACAAATAATTTGTATCGTGATATTCGACAACTATTCGAATGTGGAACTTGAACTCGAATTGGTACTCGGTTCTTCAGGTCTAATGGCATGGCATGGGAATGTATGTTGCTACATGGAACTTGATGACTTCACGTGCTCATGGTGTTTCCATGCACACACCATGCACACACCATGCACACACCATGCACACACCATGCACACACCATGCACACACCATGCACACACCATGCACACACCATGCACACACCATGCACACACCATGCACACACCATGCACACACCATGCACACACCATGCACACACCATGCACACACCATGCACACACCATGCACGCACCATGCACACACCATGCACACACCATGCACACACCATGCACACACCATGCACGCATTACGCACGCGTACCATTGAAGGCACACCAATGCTGCCGGTTTCCTCTGCATTCGCCTCTGATGCCCTCAACGCGACTCCTCCAGCAGCCCTGCCTTCTCCGCCATGCCTGCACACACCATCTCTTCCTTACCATGCACATACCATCTCTTACCATCTCTTACCATCTCTTACCATCTCTTACCATCTCTTACCATCTCTTACCATGTGTGGCACAGCAATGCTCCCCGGGTCCTCTGCATTCGCCTCGGCTGCTTTCAGCGAATCCTCCAGCAGCCCTGCCTTCTCCGCCCGGTTCTCAAACAGCACCTGCCACGTCACCAACAAGCAAAACCACGTCATCCAGAGAATCAAAGCCACGTCACCTACATGCTCAAGCGCTACCAGCGATTCCCCCATGCAGCCCTTTCCGCACCTCAACCTCTGACTCTTAAAGCACTCTCCTGTGCAGCCCTCCCCGCACCCCAATCTTTGACTCTTAAATCCCCACAGCGGTACCTCAATCTTTGACTCTTAAAGCCACACAAGGGTACCTCAACCTTCGACTCTTAAAGCCACACAAGGGTACCTCAACCTTTGCCTCTTAAAGCCACACAGCAGCAGTACCTCTAGGGCGTCCTGCAGCAGCCAGTCCGGGAGGTACGGCGCCTCGTTGTTGCCGAGCCTGATCAGCCGGAGCAAGCCACGAGGCTCGGCAGGCAGGAAGAGGTCCGTGGGTGTGTCCGCATGCCACTGCCGCAGCACCCCCTGCACCTCCCCTTTGGTTAGCACGAGCCCCGCTCCACCCAGGACAAGCTTGGTCACTCGTGCGGGAAACAGTGTGGCCATTCTGAGGAGAGGGGAAGGGAAGGGATGGGAGGTGAAAGGGGGGGGGGGGTTGGAGGAGGGGAGGTGGGAGAGGTGAGAGAGAAAAACATCGGGGGGGTTTGTGTCCGCATGCCTGGGGGTTGGGGAGGTTGGAGTTGTGTCTGAATGGCACTGTCGCAACACCCCAAAGGGACCGGGAAATGGATGGGGGAAAGGGGAGACTGGTGGGGGAGAGCAGGGAAGAAAGTGGCCATCCTGGGGGCTGATTGAGAATCGCCGCGGCTGGTCATATGAAGTGCTACCCCAGTCTATTTTTGAGGCGCCTCAAAAATAGACTCTTCATGCATGGTTGAGAACCGCCGCGGCTGGTCATATGAAAGCACCACTGCAGTCGCGCCAGCGATGCGAGGAACAGGTCACCGCAGAGAGTATTGTGGCCACCCTGCCGTATTGCAAAGTGGCGTCAAGCCAGGTTCGCAAGTTCCTTACCCCCCCTTACCCCCCCAGGCTGGCACTTCGCTACCTTGCTTTGTGAGCGATAATCCCGCCGTAATTGACGCCGAACGACCACCGCGCCCCGTTCCATGCCTAGCTGTTCAGCGCGTTTAACGCTTCCCCTTGGAACCGCCGCTCACCGCACCGAACTGCACCGTACCGCACTGGGGCATCGCAACTTACTTGTGAGCGATAATCCCGCCGTAACTCACGCCCACTACCGCGCACCGTTCGATGCGCAGCTGGTCCATCAGCGCCATCATCGCCTCCGCCTGGAAGCGCTCGTCGCGCCGCGAGCTGCGGGAGAACGAGCCGCGGAAGAACAGGAGGTCGGGAATATAGAGGTCGAAATGGCGGGAAAACGCGGGGAGCTGATTGATCCAGTGGTTTAGCGACGACGCGCCGAACCCGTGCAGGAGCAGCAGAGGCGGTTTAGCGGGAACTGCGGCGGGATTCGCGGCGCCAGATGCGGCGGGTTTGTCGCCGCGAGATGCGGGGACCCAGCAGGAGACGAGCGTGAGATTGTCGACGTGGAATTGGTCGAGGCGCAGGCCGTACGCGTTATAGACGAGCGCGAAACAGGACTCCTGAATCTCGGTGATACTGGGCAGCAGGCGAGAGGGGAGGGCCGCGGAGGAGAGCAGACAGGAGGGGAGAACCGCCATGGATCTCACCCCGAGCTGTCACCCGTACTGTAACCCCAGCTGTAACCCGACTTGTAACCCGAGCTGTAACCCGAACTGTAACCCAGGCTGTAACTCTCATCACAGGCTTTGATACCCTAGCATTACTGCTGCGGCTAGCAGCTGGTCGCAGGCTGACATCGCTAACGCTTCCCACGCAGACGGGCCCGTCTGTTTGAGTCGAGACAATGGCCACGCGGCGGTACTATGAACGTTCTGCGCTCGTGACGCGGACGCGACGGAGGGTGCAAGGGCAGAGAGCGTGGGGGATTAAGTGGAGCAGGGAGGGGAGGAGCGATGGTAGAGGCGAGACGGAAGCGCGACGGCTGGCTCGCGGGAGGAATCGAGGGCGAGAATGAGTCTATTTTTGAGGCGCCTCAAGGGCGAGAATGAGAAGTTCAGCCACTGGCTGTCGTGACCCTCCTGCACTCCCTGCTAGTCACGCTTGCCTCGCGCAGGCGAATGAGCAGAACACAATTTGGAATGTGCTACAGTAGCGAGCGGCCGTTCTTACGAGACTTTCCCGTTCTACACGCAGTTGAAGTTAGATCCACGCCGACCGCAGTCAAGAGTCGCCACAGTATTCTTCGTCCCGAAGTCACCCGCAGCCGCACATTCTCAAATCCACACAAAGGAACCATCAACCCAATGAAGGTGATGTGCAAGCATCACCGAACCATATCTCCTAAATCAACTTATTAAACCGTATAGCACCGTTTATGACCGTGTTGCTGGTTGGTGAAGCCATCTTTCCAGGTGTGGAAAGCCGGAGCAGATGGGTAAACGAGCAGATGTACCGATCAAACCGGACTGACTGGAATCCCCCTGACCAACTCGGCTGACGACAGACCGCGCAGTACACAACCGCTGACACACGAATTCCCACCCACCCGCTTGCTGCGTTGTAGTGTACGTATATGTGATACATAAAGCTAAGAAGTTCTCTAATCTGTATGGGATACTACATATTCCCAAAGCCCAGCTATTGGGTCACATCAGATCTCATCCCCCCCATTTCTAAAACCTAAATCAATTACAGAAAACAGCACAAACTACAGAATGCATCAACATAAGAACTAACCGCCTTAGCAACTGTTGGATTGACAATAACCCTAGGATCAGGGTCTCAGATATCAGACGAAATCGGCCTGATGGTATGAAAATCATACTTGTTTTTTCTCATTCATCTGATTTTTTTACGGGCTAAATTAATTCGTCTGATCGTCCTGATAAGCCTTAAGATTTCATCTGAAAGTGAAGACTAGGTGTAGACTTTCGTCTGATAATTCAGATAGCACAGATTTTTTCGTCTGATACCCTCCTCGTCTCCCCAAACCCCCTCCCCCCCCTCCCTCCCCCCCCACCCCCCTTTTCTCATAGTAGAAAAGTTGACTAGAATGAGGCATACAAATTGATTTTGTTCAAATGGTTGTACCCTCTAAGAGCATGCACCTATCTAGCCTATTATAACATATACAAATATGTTTGACACACCCCCTAGGCCAGATGGGGGGCAGTGTCTGGAAGTGTCAGGGTGGCACTACTAGTTCAGCCTCTGAGGCAAGGGTCCGAAGACCAGTCAGCAAGAGTACAGACAAGACAAAAGCAAATCAGGACGGCACTACTATTCCGACCACTGGAAGAGAAGCCACAAGGCCATTCAGAAAGGTATACATAAAGAGAAGTACACAATCACGGTCCTAGCAAGTGAGTAGCTACACGAACTAGACCAAGCTGCACACAGTGCCGCTGATGATCTTTAGCGCCTTAGTAAAGATATCAGCTGTGTTGGCACCGGAGGCCAAGTGTACTACGCGGGCCTGGCGACGCTGCTGTAGCTCGCGCAGGAGGAAGTACCGCAGCTGGATGTACTTCAATCTGCCCTCAAGTCAAGGCTCCTAACACAGGAGGATCATGGCCCTGTTGTCAGCGTACAAAACTGGGGCAGAGTTAGGACGCTCATCTAAGTTTGTGAGCAAGAAAGTCAGCAAGCGGAACTCCTGTGCTGCCATGGCACCAACGTAGATCTCAGCCTCGCAGCTGGACTGTGCAACAGACGACGAGCGGGTGGACCTCCATGAGAACACGCCAGTACCAAGGCTAACGCAGTAGCCCTCAGAGAACCTGAGGGTCTTAGAGTCGTCTGCCCAAGAAGCGTCAGTGTGCTCAGTAAGAACCACTGACCTTCGTCCTCCTAGTACTAGCCCTATGCCCGATGTACTTGCTAGATAACGCAAAACCCTCTTAGCGGCCGACCTGTGTTGTGGTCGGTATCTGCCTATGGCCACAAAGCGAGCCAGGATACTGAGAGGGTATGCAAGATCTGGAGTAGTGCAAGTCATCAGGTACATGTGGCAACCCACCAGCTCTGCGTAAGGACCAGTTTGCCTCCGGTCGGCCTGGCCGGTTCTGTCGTGCGGAGGGCATCACCCAGTCGTACACCCTGCCTAACTCCCCACAGCAGAATGGGGTCGCTGAGCGACGCATCGGCTTGGTCATGGAGGTGGGTCGTACCTCCATGATCCATGCTGGTGCACCCCATTTCTGTGGCCGTTCGCTGTTTGCTACGCCGCTCACCAGCTAAACCTGTGGCCCCACTCCCAGCGGCCGCACGTTTCGCCGACCCTCCTCTGGACCAGGTCTCCTAGTGACGCATTTGTGTTCCACGTGTGGGGATGCCTCGCTCACATTCGTGCCTCTGGCATGGACAAGCTCACTGCCCGCATTGTCCCCTGTGGTTTCCTTGGTTTCCCCATTGACTCGTCTGACTGGCACTTTTACCGGCCGCCATCTCACTGCATTTTTCACTTGCGTAACGTCACTTTCGATGAGTCTGTCTCCATTTACCGTCGTTTTCCCCACCGAGGTCTCCCGGTTTCCCCACCCCTGTTTCTGGTCCCCACTCCCCCGGTAGCCCCTGTTCCCCTCCCTCCCTGTCCTGCCCCGTCTGGAGTGTCTCACATCAGTCCCCTCCCATTGCTTGTCCCGATCGAGGAGTCGGCTGACTCTGGTGGCCTCGCAGTGCAGTTCTCCCTGCCTGCCTCTCCCCCGGTGTCCCCTCCTCCATCGTCGCAATCGCCGCCTCAGCCGTCGTAGCAGCCGCAGCAGCAGCAATCACCGCTGCCGCAGCAGCCGCCGCCGTCACAGCAGTAGCAGCCGTTTGTGGACTCTGGGGTTGCTGGCGTTGAGGAGGGTGCTAATCCTGGGGTTCCTGTCGTGGCTTGTCCCGGCGGGCTCGGGGGTGGCACCGGTGCTGGAGAGGGTTCTCGCTCCGGGGGTGCTTGCTCTAGGCGTGCTGGAGTGGAGTGTTCTGGAGGTAGCCGTGGGGCAGCTGGCGGTCCAGCTGTCGGCGTCGAGCAGCAGCAACAGCAGTCACCGCCGGTGTACGCCCTTCACCTGCTCGGCCTTCCCTCCCCTGACTGCTCGCCTGCGCCTCCTCCAACGCCTCCTCCCCTTCCTATCCTCGGTCCTGAGTTTCCTCCACCAGACTTGTCCCTGGACCGTTTCCCACCTCGTTTCCCCCTCGCGTCTCCTCCTCTGTCTCCTGACCCGACGCCTCCGTCTCACGTCTGGTCTCGCCGTCCCTCTCGTGCTCGTCGTGTCTATCCTGTTCCGCATTCTCACCCTATGTTGCTTCGTTCCCATGTGTATCGTCCTTCCCAACTCTCGTCTCCTCCTCCGCCGTCGCTCGCTATCGCGCCTCCCCCTCTGTCTGACTACCTTCGTGCTGCTTGTCCTCTTGTTCCTCGGGACCTTGCCTCCCTCGTTACCGACCCATCTGTTCCTATCTCCAGTCTTCACGCTCTTGTCGCTGCCGTCATTGACTTCGCCTCTACCCGCTGCCTTGACTACGCCACAGCTCTGGTCTCTGGCCTTGCCTGCCCTCCGTCCATTGGGGGTGCTCCTGCGGCAGTGACGTCCTAGAGGACAGGCAGAACAAGCTTGCTTTCTTGTCCGAGGCTGCACACCATCTCTGTTCCATGCTACTAGTCCCTGAGGGTGACCCAGACGCCTTTGACATCCCGACCCCTCGCACTTACGCTGAGGCGACCTCGGGACCCTGGACCTCTCAGTGGATAGCTGCCATGGAGCAGGAGATGTCATCTTGGAGATCCACCAGCACCTACGTCGACGCAGTTCCTCCACCTGGGGTGAACGTAGTCGATGGCCGTGGCTTTTCAAGGTGAAGCGCCTTCCTGGAGAGCCGCCTGTGTTCAAGGCGTGTTATGTGGCTAGAGGCTTCCGTCAGCGCGAGGGGGTGGACTTCTTTCAGACCTTCGCCCCGACCCCGAAGATGACTACTCTTCGGGCGCTGATACACGTAGTAGCATAGCATGATTACGAGCTCCACTCCCTCGACTTCTCCACTGCTTTTCTTTAGGGCAGCTTGAATGAGCAAGTCTACCTGCGCCATCCACAGGGCTTCACCGCTACCTTCCCTCCTAGGACCCAGTGGCTCCTCCGGCGCCCGGTCTACAGCCTGCGATAGGTGCCCCGTGAGTGGCATGACACGCTGCGTACTACGCTAGCTGACCTTTAGTTCTTTCCGTCCTCTGCAGACCCCTTGCTCTTCGTTCGTGCTGGCCAGACTCCATTCTACATTCTTGTCTACTTTGACGACCTGGTCTTCGCTACTGCAGAAAGAGACGCACTGGCCTCTGTGAAGGTCGAGCTGCTGAGGAGACACACCTGCACTAACGTAGGAGAGCCTACACCTCTGCTAGTAAACCACAGGCTCTCAGCTCCTCATTCCCGAGGAGTGGAGACACATCACGGGGAGACCTCGGCAAACTCGCGCAGCTACGACCCACGAGATAAGAATGTCAGGCACGTCGACCTTCCGCTCCAGAGGAAATAGCATGGTCTAGCGCGTGTAGTCGTCAACAAGCACCAGGAAGTAGCGCTCTAGACGCGGCCCAGGGACGGGGGCTGGACCCCAGACGTCCAGATGCAGGGTTTGGAGTGGCACGGTGGTAGGACGAGGTGAGGAGGAGTGAGGAGCATGGCACAGCCAGCCCTCAACGCAGGGCGTGCATGGTGGCGCAGACGAGGGAGGGAGGGAAGGGAGCGACGCAGATAGACTTAGGACAAGACCGTATTGGGACATGTGCCGTAGATGCGGGAGTGCAGGGTGACCTAGGCAATGGTGCCTCAGCAGCGACGGGTGAGTGAGTGACCGACATGAGTAAGCCGCGGCTACCTAGTGGGACGCCCTCACTAGGGGGGGATGCAGTGTCAAGCGTAAACAGCCCGGACACAGGGTCCTGGGGGAACGTGGTCAGAGGAGCACCAGTGGCGGTCTCGGTGCAGACCGCGTACCGCTCGTGTTCGGGGAACGTAGTGGTGATGCCAAGGCCCTGAAGACAGCCAACACCAACTAGGTTCTTAGAGAACGAGGGGATGTGCTGGCCTGTAAGAGTGCCCGAGGGGGCCGCCGGACAGGGAAGAGTGGTGGAGCTACGTACAATGGCCGGACCGGAGGAGGGGTCTGCAAATGCGACGGTGGCAGGGGCGGCAACTGGCGTAAGGGAAGTGTGGTCGCGGAAGAAGCAGGTAGACGCACCGGAGTCAAGCGTGAAGGAGAGCGAAGCGCTAGCGGCTGCC